TTTTCTTAATCGAACAAAATTAAGAATTGTTGAGGAGCAAAGAGATTTGGGTGTACATATCCACAACTCATTAAAACTAGTTCCGAGGTGCAAAAAGTAATCAAAAATGGTGAATGGTATGTTGGCCTTTATCTCAATGGCCTGGAATACAAAGAGGAAGAAATGATGCTTCGACTGTATAGAGCGTTAGTCAGACCCCATCTGGAGACTGCGTTCAGTTTGGGGACCACACCTTAGGAAAGATATATTGGCCCTGGAGGGGGTGCAGCACAGGTTCAACAGAATGTTACCAGGTCTAAAATGGGTTAAGTTACAAGGAAAAGCTACGTAAACTTGGATTGTATTCCCTCGAGTTTAGAAGGTTGAGGGTTGATTTGATTGAGGTATTTAAGACAATAAAGGGATTTGATAGAGTAGATACAGAGAAGCTATTACCTGTGGTGGGGGAATCCAAAACAAGTCTTAAAATTAAAACAGGCCATTTAAGAATGAAATTAGGAGCATTTTTTCACTCAGAGGTTGGTAGAAATCTGGAACTCTCTCTCCCAAAAAGCCGTTGATGCTGGATCCATCCACACCTTCAAGAGTGAGGTGGATAGATTGTTGGTAGGTCAGGGGATTAAGGGATATGGGGAGAAAGTGGGAAATTGGAACTGAAATGATTAGTTGAGGTACAGGTCAGCCATGATCTAATTAAATGGTGGAACAGGCTTGAAGGACTGAACGACCTCCTCCTGTTCCTATGTTCTATAGCATCCCTCACGCAGGGTAGAAGCCCAGGAGGACCCTTCATGTTGGGAAGACGTCCCAAAGCATTGGACAGTCAAGGATGTGCACCAGAGCTGGAGATTGGGATTAGGAGGGGTGGAGGGCAGGAAGTGAAGGAGTAGGAGGTGAGTGAAGGCGCGGTTGAAGAGGAAGTTCTTGAGGGAGGGGGCAAAGCAAAGGGATTGTAGGATGGAGTTCCAGAGGGTGGAACTTTTGAGAAGTTTACTCTTGAGAAGGTATGTTTGATCCACAAACCCTCTCTCTCTCTTTCTCTCCCCCTGAACACATGTGGAGAGGGGTGACCCTGCCTGCATACAGGATGGGATCAGATCAGGCTGGCATTCCTCACATATGCCACCAGAGGATAGAATACCCAAACCCAGATCTTTAAAAATCGAGACATTTCCAGACAGTTCGATTACCGGGCAGGGCGACACCTGAGGCAATTTCCTTACCCCACACACCTCTGTTTACATAGCGGCAAGTAGGAACCCGGTTGTTAGTCGATTGGCAGATCGCTTTCTGGGGATAATAATCCCTAAACAACAAAAAAAATAAGTTGATCACTCAATCCACGGCTGTCTATGGGACGCTGCTGTGCGCAATTGGCTGCCGCGTCTGGCCCACAAAATACACAGTCAATTCACTTTACAGTACATTCTGTGAAGCGCTTTGAGAAGTTTCAACGACGTGATACGGCGCCATATCAAATGCAAGGATTAATTATTATTAGTATTATCGTCATTGTCTTTATTATCAGTGTCTTCCCACTGGCTTTTATCCTCTGCCAGTCCCCACCCAAAAAAAACTCCATCTCTCGAGTTCCACCTCTCCACCTTGTTTGCCTTTACTCTTGGGAACAAAACAATGACAATATATCAAAAATCCACATTCAAAACCCATTCAAAGCCTTGATATTTGTGCCTGTTCTTTTTTAAAGGTGTGTCTTGTCTCATTTGCAGACTGGAGGAGCTAATTGTTTTCTCTGCTAATGTGTGTTTGTGTGTGTGGTAGATTCAACGTATAATGTAGGGAGGATTAAACTCAATCCACCCACACACAGATGGATTTGCAGAGTTAAGGAATCAAGCTGCCTCCCTACCTACCAACCTACCTGCAATACACACACACAACCATCCATCCTCTCCAGCACAACACAAGTCTCTCACCAGGACTCTCACCAGCCCCTGTGGCTTGTAGTATAGCCAGGAAATAAAGCCCCAACCCCAAATAAAACTCCTGACAAGGATTTCCTCGTCAGATCAGTTCAGTTTAGTCGTGATTCTGTGCATCAGATCAATATATTATGCACACACACACAATTGCTGTGTGTGTGCATTAACACACAAACACTTAGAGAGAGACAGAGGTTCTTTGCTCATTCCTCCAATTCACCAAAAAAAAACCATCTCACCATCTCTGACAAACAAAAGCCTCCAAAAAGCCACTTTTCAAAAGATCCCATTAACTCCTAGAATCTGCTGCAACCCTTATTTTAAGACACATTTTCCTGCTGTGACACACACACACACACATCCACAGAGACAGACACACTAATAAGAGTTAAGTCACAGCGTTGCTTCCACACAGATCGACTGAAGTAAATGTGAAGCAATTGCCTGGGTTATTTTTTGGGGAGGGGGGTGGGAATACAGTCACTTACCTGTGTGTTAATCAATCTGCCTGCCTTGATACAATACCAAGAGCACAGTATAGACCATAGCTTTTTACTAAGTCACACTGATATTGTTTTTGTATATAAAAAGAGTGTTTTATTTCACTCAATTCCCCCCCCTCCTTTATTTGATTTACATCTTAAAATTTAGACATTGTGACTGGGGAGGGAGGGAGTGCATTGGGTAAAACATCTCATATCTTAAACCAACTGCACCCCCCACCCCCCACCCACACATACAGACAAACACCCCCACACACACAAAATCAGCATTGCTTGCTATTGAAGGACTTGAGGGTGAATCTATCCCTCACGCTGAATTTTCAGGGCTATCAGAGGAGGAACTGTGATCTTATATTATCACAAATAGTCTTTGATTTTATACATTAAATGTGCATCTGTGTGTCTGTGTGCGTCTGTGTATTTTTGTGTGTGTTCCCTTTAAAGCTCCTCTCTGCTAACCAACAGCACAGGTTCCAATTCACCGCATTACACTTCACAGAAGAGAGTTCAGATTGTTTTTAACACCATAATAATGATAGTAATCCTTGCATTTATTTGACGTAGCGCCTTATCACGTCGTCGAGACGTCTCAAAGCGCTTCACAGAATATACCGTAAAGTGAATTGACTGTAGATTTTGTGGGCGAAACGCGGCAGCCAATTGCGCACAGCAGTGTCCCCACATACAGCCGTGGATTGAGCGACCAAATTATAATTTTTTTTTGATGGAAGCTATTTTCAAAGTATCTGAATTTACGCATATTATACCGCGTGTGCGTGTGTTTGTGCCGGCAGGAGGCAAGATGGTGCGCGTGTGTGTGTGTGCGTGTATGTGTGTGCTTGTTAAGGTGGAAAGAGTGAGGTAAGTGAGCAGAAGTGATCCCATTATCCCAGACTGAAGCATTGTGGTGTGAAAACCGGACCGGTGTGATGTGGATGTGATAATTATCACATAGCATGTGGCTTTTTTTCTTCCCCCCACACTCACACACATACATACACCCCCCCCCCCCCCCCCACCCACCCCCAGCATGCAATAATAGACACCCCATGGCAGGTTAGTGCATTGGGGTAGGATTAGAAATTAGATTATTAAGACAATAATAGAAATTATTACTATTATTATTATGAAATTATTCTACTCCGGGGGCATACAAATAGTTACACTCTTGTGTGTGAAATCCAATGGCAAGGTACATAGCTGTATGCAGACTCTTGTATGTGCGTGCAATTGGCTTCCGCGTTTCGCCCACAAAACACACAGTCAATTCACTTTACAGTAGATCCTGTGAAGCGCTTTGAGACGTCTCGACAATGTGATGAGGCGCTGTATCGAATGCAAGAATGGTGGTGGTGGTGGTGATGATGATGATGATTATTATTATTAAGTGTGTGCATAACACACAGAGACACTTAGAGAGTGAGAGAGAAATAGACTCTCTTTATACCTCCAACTGACCAGAAAATAACCCCCCCCCAAAAAAAAATCCAGCCTCTGACACACACCTTTTTAACCACTTGCCCCCAAAGCAGCCCAAGACTAGATGAAACCAACAAACATACTAACCCAGTGTGTGAGTGGTGTTAAGTATTTTTGTTTCCAAGCGTGAGAAGGGCTGATCTCTCTCTCTCTCTCTCTCTGTGTTTCTCTTTTTTTTTTTGGCTAATGCATCGATGCCATCCGTTGCTTGTGAGCAGTGTGTCTCAGATGGTCTACATCTCCTTGGCTCAGAACAGTATTGCCTTTAACAGCGAACGTGCAATGGATGGACACAGCAGTCAGTCGATATGCATGTACCTCCTTGCATCAGTTGGGAGGTAGGTAGGTGGATGTTCCATTAGACTCATTGCAAGACAGTTTCTTTTTCTCTCTCTCTCTCTCTCTCTCTCCCTCTCTCCCAACTTCTTCCTGCAGAAAAGACCACAGCAGACCAGATTGATTCTGCAGTTAAAACCTGACGTCAGTTAACCCAATGGGGACTCCTCCTGTCTCTTGCAATAATGGGCAAAAGTGCAAATTCGAATCATTCTCAGGATCCTTCTTCAGCTGATGTCTCTCTGTCTCTCTCTCTCTCTCTGTCTGTCTGTCTGTCTGTCTCTTGTCAAGCCAGACCAAACCCCAACCAACCATCAACCCTCCTCCCTTCCCCACACCCCAAAAAAAAAGGAATATGAGTGAACCAGTGAATGAAATGGAAAAGGTCTAACTGGAAAAAAAAAGGGGGAGTCGAGCTTGAAACCTGGAGCAGGAGAGAGGGAGAGAGAGAGAGAGAGATAGGGGGAAAGAGAGAGAGAGAGAGGGAGGGAGAGGGAGAGAGAGAGAGAGAGGAGTGGAGATAAGGGCTATTGCGTCGTTACCAGCATCTCAGTGTTGGGTGAGAGCAAAAGCAAAGCAAAATAACACACACACACACACACACATACACACCACTGTCACCTGCCAGAGGTGTGTGTGTGTGTGTGTGACTGTGTGTGTGTGTGTGTGTGTTTGCATGTGTGATTTATGGCTGGACCTGTCTGCAAACCTGGCCATGTCTCTCTTATCTCCTCTGTGCATCTGATGGCTTCCAAGTGACAGCTATTTTTCTGGGCTGTTTGGTGCTGGTTTTCTCTCAGGAGCCAATGAAAGTCCCTGATCTCCTGCTCAAGACACTTTCAAGTCCATTCTCAGAGCTGTTTCCCCATCTCTCCTCTCTCCCAGCAATGCTCACCAAACTACTGGCAGCTTTCTTACTTCTTTCAGTCTTTCAAGCGTGGTAAGCAAGTCTTTTTCTCTCCCTCCCTCCCTCTCTCTCTCCCCTCTCCCTTCTCTCCTTCCTATATTCTCTTCCCCCCCCCCAAAAAAAAACTATTACATCTGTGTGTGTCTGTGTGTGTGTGCACTGTGTTTATTGCGTGTTCAGGGACTGCTGCGTTTTATTTGGAGATGCTTTATTGGGGTGTTGGGGTGTGTGTCTCATGTGCAAAGTTGTGTGGGGGGGAAATGAACCACTTAAAGATAAAAAAAATGTCAATTAATTGGTGATGTATTCCTTCTCCCCCCACCCCCTGAACCTCTCTCCCCCACCCCTCCATCTCTCTCCCCCACCCCTCCATCTCTCTCCCCCACCCCCTGAATCTCTCTCCCCCACCCCTCAATCTCTCTCCCCCACCCCCTGAATCTCTCTCCCCCACCCCTAATCTCTCTCCCCCACCCCTCCATCTCTCTCCCCCACCCCCTGAATCTCTCTCCCCCACCCCTCCATCTCTCTCCCCCACCCCTCAATCTCTCTCCCCCACCCCCTCAATCTCTCTCCCCCACCCCTCAATCTATCTCCCCACCCCCTGAATCTCTCTCCCCCACCCCCTGAATCTCTCTCCCCCACCCCTGAATCTCTCTCCCCCACCCCTCAATCTCTCTCCCCCACCCCTGAATCTCTCTCCCCCACCCCTCAATCTCTCTCCCCCACCCCTGAATCTCTCTCCCCCACCCCTGAATCTCTCTCCCCCACCCCTCAATCTCTCTCCCCCACCCCTCAATCTCTCTCCCCTACCCCTGAATCTCTCTCCCCCACCCCCTGAATCTCTCTCCCCCAACCCCTCAATCTCTCTCCCCCACCCCCTCAATCTCTCTCCCCCACCCCTCAATCTCTCTCCCCCACCCCCTGAATCTCTCTCCCCCACCCCCTGAATCTCTCTCCCCACCCCTCAATCTCTCCCCCACCCCTCAATCTCTCTCCCCCACCCCTCTCCCCCTCTCTGTCCCCCTCTCCCCCCCCACACACCCCCCACACACACAAACCCACACAACACACACCTTTAGACACATCTCGATGTCGCAGTTGAATTGATTTTGCTATTTCTCTGCGTTACCCACAGACACAGTCACACACACACAGTTTGGCTTCAGTTTGAGAGATGATTGTTGATCATACAGTAATAAGAAAAAACACACACAATAACGCCTGGACCTCACCAATGCCATTGATTGAATGGTATTGTATTGGTCCTGATAACAGCCTAACAATAGTAATAATTATTAGTATTATTATTGGTGTTATTATTGTTATTATTATTACTACATAATTATTGACTGTCATGCTCAATAACCTGGTCAGATAGTGCACTTTGGTTTTATTATCAGTAAATCGTTTCTCAGCAAGTCTATGGAGCCATTAAAAAATAATAATTTGAACCCTCAAATCCTTCCCCACTCCTTCCCCCCCCCCTCCACCCCATCCACCCCATCCCCAGTCTAAACACAAGGAGAGAGCTGGGGCTATAAAAGTGGGGTTGAACTCAAGTCTGCAATAATAAGTCTGGTTATTTAATAAGCATTTGAGAAAAGATGGAAAGGGGTCTTTCATTAAAAAGCCTCTTTCTATACCAAGCTCCAGTCTGTACAGATAGTCAATTAATAGCCTGGATTGCTGTATGTAGTGGTGCAAAGTTGCTGCTGAATCTGATCTGTAGTGTATTTATCCTAAAGGATACAGTTCTATGTGTTGCACAGAAAGGCTTGAAACAACCAGAGAGGTTGGTGTTTGCAAACGACACCTAAACCACAGAAAATGCCATTTATTTATCTTTCTCCCACCCCCCCCCCCCCCCACCCCCACCCTCACCACATCCCCAAAAGGGAGCAATTATTTGATGCAGTGAAAGATAAATTGATTACGCAAATGGAGAGGAAGAGTGAAAATGCATCTCCTGTTTTAAAGGATAGTTCAAGTTAAAAGGATTTGATTGCTGTCACTTTTTTCTTTTGGGTGTGTGGGTTTGTGTACATGTGTGTGTTTTGAGGGTAGGAGGAAATTTTACGCCTTAGCTCAAGATCTTCGAAAGCGCAAAAAGAAAACCCAGTCCATCTTTTATTTCTCTATGAGACATCAAAGTGCAGTTAAATACAAATATCAGAAGTGTCCTTCACAACCCATCTCTCTCTCTCTCTCCACACATACACACACACAGAAACATCAGCAAGGTTAGATTTTGTGTGCTATAGTTTGAGTAAAGATTGACAGTGAAATTGGAAAGAAAAAAGCCCAATGCAAACCCTAGGAGAATGGCAAATATACTTGCATTAATGTCCTAGATATGTGACCCATTTCTACCTTCAGGAACCTGTTGCTATGTCAAGTCGTTTCTGATCAGACTGCTACGAAGCTAGAGCTAGCCTTTCACCCTAGGATGCAGTCCATATCCTTCAAGGACCAAATGCATATCCATTTCATCAGTGTATCATCAGTCCACACAAGTTACACATGACAACGCAGCGAGGGGTTAGTTTAGTCAGCCTCACCCTCGCCAAAGCTAATTGTTGTCACTTTGCTCAATTGTATGGGTCGTGCAACGATCCAGCTTTTTATTAATAGTGTTGCATTACGGCCAGTGTTACAATACCTATAGAACAACCCCAGTGAATAAGAATCATAATATCAGATTATAACTTTGTAGAATGTCCTGGAAAGTGAATTGACTGTATATTTTGTCGGTGAAACGTGGGCAGCCAATTGCAAGCAGCAGCGTCCCACAAACCGTCGCGGATTGAGTGAGCAAATTATTATTTTTTTTGGAAGGGATTATTACCCACAGAAAAGCAATCTGCCAATCGACTAACAACCGGGTTACTACTTACTGCTAGGTAAACAGAGGCGTGTGGAGTAAGGAGACTTGCCCAATGTTTCGCCCTGCCCAGGTCCTCTCACTTGCTCTAACCACTGAGCTACAGGACCCCATGAAGCTTTCCAGTCAGTGAATGACAATGGACATAAGCTTTGGGGGCGGATACGGGTGAGGATATATTGTATTATATACGGTATAAATCCAAATCTTACTTAGTGTCTCATAGCAGAATTTGCATTGAGATATCCAGGGCTCCGTAACATTTATTATTAATAATAATAATCCTTGCATTTGACATAGTGCCTTATCAAGTCATTAAGTGCTCTGGTACGCTACCGTTCATGAGGGATGCTATATCAATGCATGTTGCTTTTGCAGTTCTCACAGGATATATTGTAAAGTGGAGTGACTGTGTATTTCGCTTCCGGGGGCCACAGTGTGGCTTGCAACGATCAAGCTTTTTTTTTAATACATATATGAAAACATTAAAAAAATGCCAACTTTCTCACTGGCAGTTCCAGAAAAATCGAAGACGATGAGTATGAAGATCTAACCGTCAACCAGAAATGGTTCCTCGCCCCCAAACTGCAAAGTAGAGATGCCACCAAAATTCTCAACCAACTGCTGAAGGAATATGACAGGAAACTGCGACCAGACATTGGAAGTGAGTTCTCGTGTGTGTGTGTGTATGTGTGTGTCTCTATATCTCTCTCTCTCTCCCTAACCCTCTTCGAGACGTCTCAAAGCACTTCACTGAATATACTATAATTGACTGTGTAATTGTGGGCGAAATGTGGCAACCAATTGCGCACAGCAGCAGCCCACAAACAGCCGTGGATTGAGTGACCGCATTTTTTTTTGGAGGGATTATTACCCCCGGAAAGTGATCCGCCAATTGACTAACAACCGGGTTCCTACTTACTGCTCGGTAAACAGAGGCGTGTGGAGTAAGGAAACTTGCCTAAGGTTTTGCCCTGCCCGGGAATTAAACCCGGCTCCTCTCCCTGTGAAACGAGTGCTCTAACCACTACATGAAAGGACTCCTTAAAAAGTCTTCTGTTTGTGACATATATATAGAAAGATACCATTCTAAACAGCGTGTTTAGTTTAAAAAATATATCATTTTGACAATGCAATGTCTCAATGCAAATTAAAGTTACAGAATTGGCCGGTGATACATCTAAAGTAATACAATCGACATTTATATACTGCAGCTGATAGAAAGGTTATATTCCTTTTGTGTTGCTGAAGACGTCTCAGATCGCACAAGGAGACCTTGTTAACACAGGCACGATGTGGAAGTGCCATGCATATAACAAAGAATGAGAACCTGTGTGTGCGCGTGTGTAAGCATGTGCGTGTGTAAGCATGTGCGTATGTATGTGTGCTTAGGATCTAACACACTTGCAGCTACAAACCACTCTTCTCCCTCTGATAAAACAATATGCATAAAAACAAGTCACCTCACTTTGAATTGCGCCAGTCGTTTTGATTAAGTGCATCAACTTCAATCCTTAGCTTTACTTTGCTTCACACGCGGAATGACTTACCTTGTGTTTTGTGACAACTGAGTGGCTGACTTCAATGTAATATTCATCTGAATGTCACAATATCCTGAAACCTTATTTTTTTTTACTGTTCATAAATAAGTTCCATTATTCAACTGTTCCCAAATCATACACCCATCAACATGAATATTCCTGCTTTTTGAATAATAATACTCATGATAAATATTGAAAAAAAATTGTAATGGACACAGGGTAAGGAAGAGTATTTAAAGCAAAGGTAATACTAATAATATATAATAATCCTTACCTTTGATATAGCTCCTTATCACGTCTTCTAGATGCATCGTAAAAATGTGCATCATTTATGAGTTATACTTTTTTAAATAAATGTTAACAATTTGACGATTCGCCCCTCTAAAGCGTTCTGTTGAAGGAAATTGCCTATGGCATTTTAATATATAAGATGTAAATATCTGTAGTGTTGCACATGGCCAGTGTTACAACACATACAGAACATACCGATGAAGCTTTCCAGTCAGTGAATGTCAATGGACATTAGCTGAGGAGGCAGATGGGGGAAGGATATATTTCTTATTTACAAGCCTAAATCTTGCTTAGTGTCTCTCAGATTAATTTGCATAGGTATATCCAGGGTTCCATAGCATTTATTAATAATAATCCTTCTTATCAGGTCGTCGAGACGTCTCAAAGCGCTTCACAGAATGTACTGAATTGACTGTATATTTTGAGGTTGAATGCACTTGAATGCGTTCAAAAAACATCTCTCTTCCTAAGTGGAAACTACACAGGCTAAACATTAATATGAAATTAATATGTCTGTATTTGAACTGAAGGGATGTATATTGCTAAATTATGTAATTAATAATAATATAGCACCTTATTATGTTGTTGAATGCCTTACAGAAAGTGAATTGACACAATTATTTTTGGACGGTATATTTTATCCCTCAAATACATATTGATGCATTTTGCAATCTTTTAGGTGAACGTAGTGTTTTGCTCTTACCTCAATCCAATCTTCCTGTGGTCCACTTAAGTTGTTTCGTGCAGCAGACAATAATCTGATCGGTTTTCCAACCTGTCAGATGCATTTTAGTCAAATTCCTTATTATGGAATCTAAAATGCAGGATTTCTAACATAAGAAATCGTGTCATAAATTCTTGCCGCCTTGCAGAAACTTATCTCCGTAAGTAGAGTGCTTTGTAGGAGAGTTTTTCCTCCTTGTATTCTGGAGTCCTGTAGCGTATTGGTTAGCTCACTCGCCTCGCAAGCGAGAGGACCCGGGTTTGATTCTCAGGCAGGGCGTCACCTTTATACAAGTTTCCTTAGTCCACACGCCTCTGTTTACCTTGCAGCAAGTGAAATCCCAGTTGTTAGTCGATTGGCAGATCACTTTCTCAGGATAATAATCCCTTTAAAAATATATATATATTTGGTTGCTCAATCTACGACTGTTTGTGGGAAAATTGACTGCTGTGCGCAATTGGCTGTCGCATTCTACCCACAAAATACACAGTCAATTCACTTTGCAATATATTCTGTGAAGACGTCTCCACAACGCGATAAAGTGCTTTATCAAATGGAAGGATTAGTATTATTATTATTTGATATGGTGCATTTCACATCAGGGGGATGTCCCAAAGCGCTTCACAGGCTTTACTAAAGAGTGTAGCGACTGCATATGTATAAGTGAATTATAGGCATATTTCCGTTTGTGTTACCAACTGGAATAGAGTTAACAAGAAGGACGGTCACAATACTGGACTCATTTAAGAAACTGCTTGATAATGTAATAGATGGATGGTAGGATGGATGTTCTGGAAAGATGAGATCAAATGGACAGAAGAGCCATTGCCATCCAAATCTCTCTGCTAATCTTTTGATAAATCCTATATTTTAGACCTCATAGACCTCAAACCCTTTATAATAATCCTTGCATTTGATATAGCGTTTTTCACGTCGGGAGGACGTCCCAAAGCGCTTCACAGAACACACTGTAAAGTGAATTGACTGTATATTTGTGGGCGAACGCGGCAGCCAATTGCGCACAGCAATGTCCCACAAACAGTCGTAGATTGAAAATGACCAATTTAATTATTGTTTTTTTTTGGAGGGATTATTATTAGGCGTGTGGAGTAAGGAAACTTGCCCAAGGTTTCGCCCTCTGCCTGGAATTGAACTCAGGTCTCTCACTTGCAAAGCGAGTGCTCTAACCACTGAGCTACAGGACTCCACGCATTTGATATAGCGTTTTTCACGTCGGGAGGACGTCCCAAAGCGCTTCACAGAACACACTGTAAAGTGAATTGACTGTATATTTGTGGGCGAACGCGGCAGCCAATTGCGCACAGCAATGTCCCACAAACAGTCGTAGATTGAAAATGACTAATTTATTATTGTTTTTGGTTTTGGAGGGATTATTATTAGGCTCTGTGTGGAGTAAGGAAACTTGCCCAAGGTTTCGCCCTCTGCCTGGAATTGAACTCAGGTCTCTCGCTTGCAAACGAGTGCTCTAACCACTGAGCTACAGGACTCCGATAGAAGCTTACTTGATTTTGGTCAGCCTAATAATAATAATGACACCTATAGAAACCCATCACCGTGTTTAAAATCCAAACCAGCCTGACAGTTCCACATTTGTATGGCAATTTCCCTGTGTAAGGCACACTCTCGCTGAAGTAATGTACCCAGCTTATCTAATTCTGCAGACTATTATAACAAACCCATATCAACCTGTCCACTTCACTCGCCCGGCTCACCCCTCCATCGATGGTTGGGCCTTCAGCCTCTCTGCCCCCATCCTTTGAAACTCCATCCCACAGTTCCCTCACCTCGCTCCATCTCTTGCCTCCTTCAAGTCACGTCTCAAGACCCTCCTCTTCGACCACGCCTTCACTCACCATCCTACCCCTCCCCTCCCTGCCCTCCACCCTCCCTGATCCCAACCCCCCTGCTCGGATCCGAATCCCTGACCGTCCAGCGCCTTGGGACGTCCTCTGACGTGTACTGCTGGAGTTGAACCAGCTAAAACCATATAGCTTGCCATTGAAAGCACCGTCACCATATAGCTTCCCGCTGCTTGTCCAGCTAGGATCACCGACCGATCTGCCTATTGGAGCTTTGGCTTGCAGGGTTAACAGAAGCTGAGTGGGAAGGATCCGCCTGTCTCAGGAACTAGACTTCCAAGATCGCAATAAAAGGTGGACTTGATTGTAACATTGCATTGCCAAGCAACATATTGGATCCAGCTCAGCCCCAAAGACACTCCCTCCCTTCCGACCACACCTAAGGAGGATAGTCTTCAGACTTAGTTAATATGGTTTCCAGATTTGTAGCAAGATGTCAGGGTAAGAATAATAATAATCTTTGCATTTGATATGGCGCCTTATCATATCTTCAAGACGCCCCAAAGTGCTTCACGGCATATACTGTAAAGTGAATTGACTATATTTTGTGGGCGAAACACGGCAACCATTGCGCACAACAGCGTCCCACAAACAGTCGTGGATCGAGTGGCAAAATTATTATTTTTTGGGGTGGGGTGTTCATTACCAACACATTCCCGGGTTCCTTATACTTCTCCATTGCTGGGTTGTACACTACATTGTCCTTGCTCATATCATTATTTTTCCATCCTCACGTCAAATGCCAAGGGCAAAGAGATCCTCCGTCTCAAAGATTGATAACATTCAGCTTGGCTGCATCCTCCTCCCCCAAGTCCCTTTCCGCACCCCCAAACCGTCTACACCACCTACTCCTTCCGCCACGGCCCCTATCTCTCCTCCCCTCCCTACACTCCTTTGTCCCAATTACTTCATTTCCCTCTCAACCATCGTCTCCCAGATGAAGCCCACTACCTGCTATATAAATGCAATTGTTGTTGGTCAGTCCTCACCAAGAAAGGATCAGGGGAGAGCAGTAGCAGGAGCAGTCTTTAACAGACAATCAATCAACGTTATCGAGGCAACCTGAAATACAACAATAGCAACAACTTACACTTGTATAGCACCTTGTGCCAAATGTCCCAAGGCATCAGGTACTGAGCTTGATGCAGAACTGGGAGGATGGTGGGGGAGGGGGGGAGAACGCGGAATATGCGGCAAGCCTTAGTTGGCTGAGCAGAGGGGCGAGCGG